TTGGAAGAGATTAAGTGTAACTTTTAGATCTTTCTTTGTGTGCCAAAGGGAATATTCCATATTCCTATCCTCTGAATATTGTCTTCCTGGAGATTATGAGATAATGCATCTGGAACAACATTAGCTCATCCAGGTTTGAGTTTTTTCCCGTTGAAAATCAAACCGCCGTAATCTCATTCTCCATCTGTCTGAACATATTTTTGAGTAAAGGGGTCAGCGTTGGCCATTGCACAGGAGTGTGGTCAGAGTTTCAAAACATAAGAAGGAAATTTCTGCTCTCCCCTCTGCCCAGGCACCCTCAAATGATACCTAGACAGACTTTGTTCAAAATTCTTTTATGTTGTATTTTCTTTCAAAAACTGAATGAGTTATCCCAGCCTAAGACAGCAAAGTGTGTTTATTTCTCCTTTGGTAGTGTTTGCTCAGCAGATGCCTAGTCTTTAATCCAATCCATTCATAATTCTGGGCTAAAGCAAGGCTAGGATCCAATGAACTGATGTCAGCAAGCTCCCAGTGTGATTTCTGACCTAGGGGGCAGTTCCTAAACTCCTGGCAAAGACGGCTGAGAGGCAACTGGAAATGGCAGCCCTCTGTCTCTGTGGTCAGATAGGGAGGTCAGAGGTCACAAAACTCCAGGGATGAGGAGAAATTCAGTTCAGTTTACTATGTAAAGGCAAACCTACTCAATTCACACTTTCCAAAGCAATGTGAAAACTGAAACACAACCCTCCATTGAAATTCACACTTCTCTGAATTTTGCAATGCAGTTTTCCAACCAAAAATGGACACAGTGGAGGTAAAGTGTGCATTAAAATGCATATATTGGTGAAAAGGACATACAGAAATGTGTTATATTAGGGAAATTGCTTTGCAAAAAGGTTGTATATTAGGTAGAATTGCAGGCAAACCTATGTACTTTAGGAAAAAATCATGCTTATATGCTGGTGAATTTTCAAGGCATTTCAAACCTTTATGGAAATGTGAAGATTTGAATTTAAGATTTTAAAAAATGAGAAACAGAGAGAGAAACCAAAAAGGTCAAGATTCACCCATTCCCAGAAGACTGAATGGTTGAAAATTCCATGACTGTCGCTGATCATCTCCCTCTTGGTGTTCTGAGGACAATAAAACTCCAAAGGGAGACATTATGGGGACATACTGGATGAGGCATTGAATTCAGCAAATCTATAGCTTCCTCATTCACTGGGCATGTTTTTGGAACAGGGGAGAGATTATACCAGGCCTGGAGATGGAATAGTCACCCCACCCCTTTTGAAGTTATGGGATGGGTTTGTTTAATAAAGAAGAACTGCTGAGAGGGAAGCAGAGCCAGTGTGGTGTAGTGGTTAAGAACGGTGGACTCGTAATCTGGTGAACAGGGTTCACTTCCCCGCTCCTCCACATGCAGCTGCTGGGTGACCTTGGGCTAGTCAGACTTCTCTGAAGTCTCTCAGCCTCACTCACCTCGTGGAGTGTTTCTTGTGGGGGAGTAAGGGAAAGGAGATTGTTAGCCGCTTTGAGACTCCTTAAGGGGAGTGAAAGGCGGGATATCAAGTCCAAACTCTTCTTATTCAGAGGCCTTGTCACCTGCTCATCATGAGAATGGCAGGACCTTGGAAGTAGTGGTTCTGCCACCATAGACTCCCCCTGCCAACCCCTTTGTAGAGTTGCTCTGTCTAGATAGCAGCAGGACTCTCGCACATTATCCTAAACTAAGTTTGAAATACTCAGATTTCAAAAGCCATCTGTTGGGCACACTGAATTGGTTGCATGGCAGAACAAAAGGCATGAAGTTTCCCAGCCCTAGAATTTTATTACCAGAAGTGACTCAGGTATGTTTTCATAACGACTTTGCTGAGGCAGCTGAGTGATATTATGGGTTGTATTCAACTAAGTTCTACCAGCCGCAGAACCACTCAAGTTAATGGACATTACTAACTTAGTTCCATTAATTCCACTTGGTCTATCTGGAGTAGGACTTAGTTGAATACAATCCACTGTATTGTACTTGAATCCTACTGTTTTAATTGAATGTGTGCTGTTGGTTTTCATTACATTTTGAATTGTTAGTTATCAACCCTGAGATGATTTATGAAGCATATAAATTGTAGAAAACAAACAAGATCACTTCAGTCAGGAAGGGGCTTATAGTGAAAAATGTGATGTGAAAAAAATAATTTAAAAAATGAATTAAGTTCTTTGGAGATTCACCAAAACCTAAGCAAGCACATTTTCTAGAAGCACTGTGTGGCATCTTTATTGAAATTGGCTTTTGGTGGTTATAGATAGGAAAGGGCTGGACAAAACAGCCAATTGTTACCTGCCTGGATGCTTTTTGACCATTTGTGCTGCAAGTCCAAATGAAACAAAGAGGTAGTATTGTGAGTACCATCAAATAAAAACAGCTGTGGTTTTTTGTTTTATAAAAAACAAAACAAAACTCATGTTAGGATACCTATACACATTTTACTGGACAAATAAATATTCAGTCTCAGTATTCCCCAAAGAAGTTAGAATGTTCTTGAGGATTCCATAACATCACTAGCTCATCAAATGGCTAGAGACAGGCATATGGAAAGTGGTTTACCCCTTGTTGTCACATATAAAACTAGTAGATTCAGAGATGATTGGCAATAAAGAGTTTTAAAAACCACTGCTTTTGTCACCAGATGTCCACAGACATACCTGACTTCTGTGAGTTTTTGTACTTCACAAAGTGAAGGTAGAGCAGGGATAAGATAAGTGGAATGAACCAGAGAAATGTCAGAGAGCCTGAGCACTCTCCCTGAAAAGGAAAAAGGGGGGAGGAAAGAAAAAGAGCCAGTTGCTGATTATTGCCAGGCGGTTTGAGGTGAAGCCTCATATCTTTGAAAGTCATACCAAATCCCAAAGGTCAATGCAGCACTGAAACCCTTCCCATCACATGATTGTGTGTGCGCGATTTGCCTCTATAAAAATGTCGACAAATTTATGTGGAGTGTGGTCACTCAAGTCTGAGGGCTAACACGTAGCAGGTTTTCACGAGAGAAGGGCAATGACATCATGGAGTTCTAATGCGAGGTCATTTTTTTTAGACCTCGGCTGTGCCAATCATTTATTTGTTTTTAAGGCTATTGTGATGTCATGGAGAGCTCAGTTGCATAAATCAGGATTACTCTGGCATTGGAAAAAGACCACATGTCCTAAGGAATATAAATGGTGATTTACATAGAATTTTTGAGACAACCCTATGAATGCAAGGTCTGTTTGACTAATTCTTGCTATCTCATCCTTTATCCAAAGGGTTTATTTGATAGGGAACTACAACCGGCTTGGCCTTTAGGAAATAAAGTCTCTCTCTCTCTCTCTCTCTCTCTCTCTCTCTCACACACACACACACACACACACACAACCTGCAGCTAGGCATTTCTGCTTGCTATTACGACTGGAGTTGGCATTCTTTAGGACCTTGGGGAGTTTCTGAGTTCCACTGGTATGCAGCAAATGCCTTGTAAATTAAGAGTCCCTAATGAAAACGCGCTGGTGTCCAAGCGGAGCAATCATCTGGTTAAAATCAGCCAGTAATTCCACTAATTTTACTGCCCTTCTCCCAGCCCTCAACGCCTCATTTAGGAAAAAAATGTTTATGTTCCCCTCGAAACACCTGCGTATTTTAACTCAGGGGGTCCCTGAAGCAATTATTTTTATTTTATTTTATTTTCATTTTTTTAAGGCTTCGTGTTGGGAAATACACCGACATTCATCCTTCTTCTGAACCGAAACGCATCGATGTCCTGGGATTCCCCACATTCAGACATGCTTAACTAGGACTGGTTCCTCTCCCCCCCCTCCCCTGCTTCCACACTTCACAGGCTCCATCAGCCAATATCATTTCCTTCCCACACAGCTGCTTTCCAGAACCAGGTATGTTGTTTTTTTCCTGTCCACCAGCTCTTCCACTCCACATTAAAACATGAACTAGGTAGCTGAGGCAATGATCCTAGTTGCACTGATTTAGGAGTGTGCCTTGCTGAAATAGTTTACTTACTTCCAAGTAAGCACACTTAGGATTGGACTACACATTGGTTGATTAAGAAAGAAAATCTTCTTCTCATTGTTGCTGTAAAAAACAAAACGAAAACATTTTATTGTGATGCATCCAAAGTACCTTAATGCTCCACCTTGATTGCTGAGGTCTTTTGATGGGGCTGCTTGGGGATTTCCACTGCTCCTGGGGTTCAGCTGGCCTTTACTGGGGCCGAGTCTTTAGTGTGGCAGGGCCCACCCTGTGAAACTCATTGCCAATAGATGTTCAGCAGGAGCTGTTCACCTTACTCTGAAACACCTAATGACTGTTCCCAGGAGTTTTATCTAGATACAGTGGACGCTCGGGTTGCAAACGTGATCCATGCGAGATGCACGTTCACAACCCACAGCGTTTGCAACCTGCGTCTGCGCATGAGCGGTTGTGATTTGGCACTTCTGCACATGTGCAAAGTGACTGCTGAAACCCAGAAGTAACCCATTCCGGTACTTCCGGGTTTCGGCAGTCTGCAACCTGAAAAAACACAACCTGAAGTGGCTGTAACCCGAGGTATGACTGTATTAAATAGCACCAGACATAAGATAGACCCCTGCAGCACCCCATAGCATAATGAAAGGATTGATGCCACAACTTTGGAATTATTTTGTCTAGGATAGGATCATGCTCACCATTTTTAGAATTAATTTGTAATTGTGTTGTATTGCATTTTATTGTTTTGTCCAGCTACGGATCAATAAATGACAAATGTAGTAACTGAATAGATGAGCCCCATTGAACACAGCGGGACTTTTCCTCATAGTTAAAACATGCACAGGTTCTCCATGCTTTGCTGCAATTCTTAGTCACAACCGGATGGAGCCAATCAGATTTGATAATGAACCTGATGTCACCAAGGGTAAGTGAAGTCATAGAATCATAAAGTTGGAAGGGACCACAAGGACCATGGAGTCGAACCCCCTGCAGTGCAGAAATCTTTTGCCCAGCATGGGGCTCAAACCCATGACCCTGAGATTAAGAACCTTGTGCTCTCTGGACTGAGCTATCCCACACTATCCTATTGAGAGCAACAAGGGCAAAGCAAATGGATGGGCAAAGAGTTGTGCAAGTGGGTGCCAAAAATAGGTGGAAAAGGGAGGCATTTTTCTGACACTCCCAAAATCTTTCATGAAACAGTGAGTGCAATTTTGGCTCATCCTGAGTTGACACAATGCAGAAATATTAGGTGAGAGGAGCAGTAGAAGAATGTTAACTTGTTCATTTATTATAGCGTTGCCAAGGAAGGTCAAACAACCTGATTCACTGCTTCTCTCTCTCCAGCCCTGTCTGCAAAGTACATTGAGTAAGTTGGAAAGCATTTCCATTTGCAGAATGCGCTTCCTCTTCATTTCATACATCTGCAGGCACAAGAGAAGGCATAACTGACCACAAATGAGATCTGGGAACTGAAAAACTCGGTCTGGTAATATAAACCCCAGGCCTCTGAAAAATCTGGGAAGGGGGTTGGCTATGGAAGGCAGAGGCAAGATTATTGCTGCTTCTTTTCTATTAAAAAGAACAGCATATCAATTGATTTTTGTATTCTAAGAATAATAAGCTTTTTGGTTTTCAAAACTGGAGAAAACCTGTATCCCACTATATTTTAACTGCTGCTCAAATGCTGCAGTGATATGCACACTTCTAAGTGGGAGATGTAGTTCTCTTTCTTGATATAAAAGGAAAGTGACGAAATAGCTTGAGCTTGCTGGAAAGAGTTGTGGAAGAGAAATAAACCACCTGCAAGAAAAGAAAGCTGGAAACTCAAGCTGTGTTGATATCCCTTTGGCCTTGCTGGATATTGATTGTAACATCTGAAAGGGGGGGCACGTGCATGCATAATATTTACAACAACACTGTAAGGTTGCATCCCCCATATTTCAAATGAGGCAGGGGTCTGGTTCAGAGAGACAAGGCCACCCAGCACATTCATAGCAGAGGTGAGATTTGAACCAACAACTTCCAGAGTTGGAGCACACTCACTTTAGCCACTACCACCGAGACCACATAACACCGGTCTTGAAAGACCTACATTGGCTCCCAGTATGTTTCTGAGCACAATTCAAAGTGACCTTTAAAGCCCTAAACGGCCTCGGTCCAGTATACCTGAAGGAGCGTCTCCACCCCCAGTGTTCTGCCCGGACACTGAGGTCCAGCGCCGAGGGCCTTCTGGCGGTTCCCTCACTGCAAGAAGCCAAGTTACAAGGAATCAGGCAGAGGGCCTTCTTGGTAGTGGCACCCACCCTGTGGAACACCCTCCCACCAGATGTCAAAGAGAACAACTACCAGACTTTTAGAAGACATCTGAAGGCAGCCCTGTTTAGGGAAGCTTCTAATGTTTGATGCATTACTGTATTTTAATATTTTGTTGGAAGCCACCCAGAGTGGCTGGGGAAGTCCAGCCAGATGGGCAGGGTATAAGCAAATTTATTATTATTATTATTATTATTATTAATTATTATACCATGCCAAATTCACCAGTGCTGCTTTTCGACCACGTTCAGTTAGACTATTTTTTGTGTTTCCTCTCTTTCTAAAGGAGGGGATGGAATGCCCACTTGTCTGCCTCACCTCATCTCAGGAAGAAACATGATCCAACAGGTGAATGGCAAATGGCCATAAAATGGTATCTTTAAACTCAAAAGTACCCATCAGCCCCCCCTCCTGCAATGTTGGGAAGCTGAAAACTCTGCAGAAAATTTGAAGGTAGGAGCATAGAAGTTGGAAACTTTTTTCAGCCTTAGAGCCACATTGTCTCATGGGTAACTTTAGAGAACAGCATTCTAGTGGTAGATGGAGCCAGAGGAAGAAAGGGAGAAAGCAATGGATGTGATACTTTCTGTAGGCTACATTCTTGGCATTGAAAGTTTTCTACAACACACTTCTGTATTCAGCCAGGCAAAGGTTCATCACAGCTCAAGGATGCAGTCTCACCAGACAAAAATGATCAGAGAAGAGCTGTGAGGGACATGGCCGGGGCACAGGGGGCCAGATAGAGGCTGCTGGGGGCCACATTTATTCCCTGGCCTGATATTTTCCCCACAGCTGGCAGAAGCTGCGGAAAGGGCTCCAAAAGGGATTTGGCAAATGCAATGGATTTCCGAGTACATTAGGAATCTGTGCATTTGTGTTCTGAAATGAATTAGGATTGGAGAGAGGGCACTTTTTCTATAACTGCAGGTCAAAATAAAACACACACACAAATATCCTGTTCTCTCATCTGCTTGTGGTAATTACAAACAGAAAGTCCTTTTTGCCAGCTGCAAGGTTCATGGAGAAGTGGAAGGAAGATGTATTACTTTCTAAATCCTGAATCTGTTGGTTTTTTTGTTTTTTAAGAAAGGGGAGTGAGCCAAATCTTCTTTTTCAGCTTCCTGATGGGGTATATTTCATATACCTGGCAAAATCATGATTCCATTTTGGTGGTGTATCTATAGCATCACTATCTAAGGTCAGATGCAAATACATGTGTTTTCAGGCCAGATTCAAGTTTTGTGTATTAACTGACAAGGCTCTTAACAACTTAGGTCCAAGTGTTGGAGTGTTGGAGTAGGACCTGGGAAACCAGGGTTCAAATCCCTACTCAGCCTGTGAATCTCACTGGGTAGACCTGGGGCCAGTCTCTGTCTCTCAGCCTGAACTACCTCACAGGGTTGTGGGGATAAAATGGGGAGGACAGCATCATGTAAAACACCTTAGGCTTCTTGGGGGGAAAGGTGGTTTATAAATGTAAGAAATTAAATAAATATGATAAGCATTTTTAATGCACACTTTCCCCATGTGTGCATTTTTGTGCAGATTATTTCGTACAATTTTGCAAAATTCAGAGTGGTGCAAAATTGTTTCCTGTGCTCCCTTGTAGGTTCACATTAAAATCCAAAACAAATTTCTACCCTGTCCCTAATCTGGGTGAGTTTTGGGCACAACTGACAGAGAAGTCAAGAAACTCAAATCTCCTCCATCCTTTGTCCATCTACTCATAACTCCCATAAGCACGACTGTGGCTTGGAAGAGGCCCATTTTTTCACATTGCACCACTGTACCAAAAAACCAGTCAGCCGCAGGTAACACTGACTCTGTTTTAAAGTGCACCTTTATAACTTTCCTGCTGCTGAATGCAAAAGCCTATTATGCAAGCTAGTCTCTTGATTTCTGACTGCCAGTTTACACATAACAGGAGGGGGCAAGCTGAGAGCAGGTCTGTTTTCTGCACCTATTATTCAGTTGCTTTGTTGAAGTTCAGTGCTAAGCTGCCTTTTCAAATATCTATCTATCATCTATCATCTATCTATCTATCATCTATCTATCACACAGCAAAATGTCCTATGATTCTAGAACATTAGAGCACAATTGTTTTGTTTTCTGCTCAAAGAGAGAGAGAGAAAACTGAAGAGGCTGAGATGCGGGGTGGAGGAAGATGAAGAAACAGCTTGGGACTTAATAAACACCTTAGCCTGGAGCTCTAAGCTTTTATTCATGAGGATGTTTATCTCGATGTACTCGCTGTGGCTCCTTTACTGCACAGTCTTAAATTACCATTGCAAAGGTTATATGTTTATTTACAAAAAGCTGGCTCTGAATGGTGATCCTTAAGGCAAAGAGGGTGTCTCACGCCAATAAACATCGCTTGCTCTCTTAAACGCCGAGGCCAGATGAATGAGGTGATGTTTAGTGCCGCGGACATATTACAGTTTATGGCTTCATTAACTACCTGACCTGTATTATGTGAAAATTTCATCAAAGTGCAATGCATATTTATTCCCTGAGGTGGGCTGGCCGCTGATGCTTGATTCTTAAAGGAAAAAGAGCAGGTAATTACTTATAATTAGAGTGCTGGGGAAGTGAGGGCATTTGAGGAGGGAAGGCAATTTTCCCGGGCTTGTGATGACACTTAGCCAAGTGATTGCTTGGTGTATCGAATTCGCACGCCGAGGTGAAAGAGAGATGGGCAGGAAGACATTGATGTGGCTTCTGTGGAAGCTTCAAGAATGTGAAAGGCATCTATAGTTCTTAGTATGGCACAGTTAGGTCCCCAAATCAGCAAGGGGGCTCAGCAACATTGCACTTTGAATGGCGCACCCAAGAGGAACACAGAGGGCATGACAGAATTCTGGGTTTTCATGGACTTCCTGTTCCAGGTTAAAGGCCTACTTAAAGTGCTTTGGCCAGTGGTATGGACAATGTTAGAGACAGCAGCAGGGGACTCACCCCTAAATGTGCTCCAGAGGGCACAGGCCCAGACTGAGCCCCAAAGCCCCTGGGTACCCTGACATGTTCACCAGAGAAGCGCATACCCTCCAACATTTCTCCGATGAAAATAGGGATGTCCTATTAAATAAATAAATGAACGCATACCCTATCCATCTGTTTATGGAGAAGTCTGTTTTATGGGTGGTTTTAAAACAAGTTTTTAAATAAGCCATCCCAACCTCCTCCCCATCTTCTTCAGCAAGGTATCACTAAACCAGTCACTGGCAAGACTCAATGCACAGTGGATGAGGACAAGAAAGAAGCTGGTATCATTGTCACTCCTACGCATGGACATCTCTGCCTCTCCCGCCTGTGCTAAGCACAGAACATGCTGTGCTTCTAAAACAATGCAACTGCTGGAAACAGCAAACAGTGATTGAAAGACAGCAAAATGTGGGATGAGATGAAAGTATCACCATGAACCATCTTTACACCAGTAACCCTCTCACAAGCCCTAGAATCCATGCATAGCACAGTGTAAATACACTGCGGTGTCTCTTCCCAGGGAAGGTTAATTTTTATAGACGTCAGGACAGCCTTTTCACAGGGTATTTTCTAATATCATTAAAACCCAACTGAATGGAACGCCTAGCTGCAAAGACGTTAAGGCCAGTTGTGTGACCTTCTCAAATACAAATGGCCTGGCTGTTTGCCAGCACTTAAAAACACCCCAAACCTGCTAAATCTCTTTCTTAAAACAACTGTAACTCTTCCCTTTCAAGTTTTTCAACCTTTCACCCGCCAGGTTCCTAGCCCTTCACCCCTGACCCACGGCTGTGTTTGCTTAGTATTGTGCCAATCGAGTTTAGAAAGGTGAAAAAACTTGATGGTGCAAAGGAGGGAGAAGAATCCAGGAAGCAAACCTATGCAAAATCCCAACACAACTCTCCCTTTTCAAAGATGTGCAACTCCGATGGAACTTAAGAGATAATTCAGAACTGTACATAAACTGGCTGTTAACTAAACACAAGCGGCATGATCTGGTCCAGTGATATAGTGGACAGGTGCACTTAGAGTTCTTGGATGAGTCGGGTGGAAATGCAAGTGGAAATTGCTGGTGTTTGTTTATTTGCCCCATGTTTGAATTGGAAATCAGTCCAGCAAATATGAACAGTATTTGCAGTTGTTGTTTTCAGTTCACAAATGATACATAATCAATTACACACCACCACTCATTTTCATTATATTTCCTTTGCATTGAAATGAATGGGGTGGGAGGGAAATGCACTGCAGTGGAATGGGAACACTGCATGTGATGAGAACATGGCAGAGCGGGAAACTATGCTTTATTACATCCCTAGGTGCACTTCGTGAGAAACCAATGAAGCCAAGCCCCTTCCAAGACTATGCAACTTTTGACCAATGCAGCCATTTGGGACGATGGCATCTACACAAGTTCTACTGAGGGACAGGGAGTGCAGGGCATTCTGGTTGTTTTCCTATATTTCCTTCTCAGCCTAGGATCTGCTTATTTGAAAGATTGTAGGCCACAGCTCAGTGTTAGAGCGTCTGCTTTGTGTGCAGAAAGTCCCATGTTCGATCACTACCATCTCTAGACAGGGCTGGGAAAGTTCCTTGCCAGTTGCTAGTCAACATAAACCAGGGGTCGGCAAGGCTTATCAGGCCCATGGGCCAGAACATTCCTGCAGAGATCCTCCATGGGCCGCACCGGCGCAGCGTGATGCCGGAAATGGCGTCTGTGCATGCCCGTGGTGCCGGAAATCACTTCTGCGCATGCCTGGACACCAAAAACCACTACCGCTTCTGTGCAGGCGCAATTTTTGGCATCTGGGCATGCGCAGACACCATTTCCGGCGCCTGTGCATGGACAGAAGCGATTTCTGGAGCTGTGGAAGAGACTTTCCATGCTGGTTTAGCACAGCGTGCGGGGACTCGCCGAACAGGCGGCTTGGGTTGGGGGTGGCTCATGGGCCGGTTAAGTGACCCTCGTGGGGTGCTTCCTGCCCATGGGCCTTAGGTTGCCAGCCTCTGAGCTGAGCTAGATGGAACTGAGCTAGATGGAACAGTGGTCTGGCTTTCCAGAAGCCAGGAACACAACCATAGCTCATGGGCTGAAGCAGAATGGTAGAACATCCTCTTTTTCTTGCAGAAGGTGCCATGTGCTAGAAAGGCTAGCAAACACTCCTGTCTGAAACCCTGCAGATCCATTGCCAGTGAGAGCAGGATAGCAGCGAGCCAGAAGGACAAGCTGTCTAAGTTGTTGTAATGAAGCTTCCTATGTTCTTAAGAGTTATAGAAGACAATAGCCAGAACTTCCAGCATAGGAGCTGTGAATGAATTAGACCCATTGATTCAGGAATAATGCAGCAGGTTATGATTAATTCTGTTATTTTCCGCAGGACCAAATTTGTACCAGATCATTCTGTCACATGGTACTAATAAATTACTTGAGGGCATTGCGTTGTTGTCGGGTTTTGTTTTTGTTTTTGTTTAGTATTATTTAGCATAATGTTGCATTTTGGTTATTACATTATTTATCATGTTACATGTCATCAGCCCCTCTTTAATTAAGGTGATGGAATCCAGCAGCGTGGAGGCTCACCCTATCCTTGTACTTATTTGGAAGAAAGATACATCTCTCTCTCTCTCTCTCTCTCTCTCTCTCTCTCACACACACACACACACACACACACATGTTTTAAAATGCAAAGTAAAACACCATGCTCTTCTGTGCCGTAACCAAGCTGTGTGTACACATGCAAACATGTGTTTCTGTCACAAATTGATTGCAGGGATACCACAAAGGCATTTCTTGCATCACCCAAAGGGAATGTAGCATGCCCAGTAAATCACTGAAGGGAGAAGCAAGTAGAATTTCCTGCTTCACTTGCACTCCCTGCCTCTCAATGGAATCAGATTCAGCTAGGTAGCCGTGTTGGTCCGACGCAGTCGAAATATATAAAAAAATTAAAACATTGTCCAGTAGCACCTTAGAGATCAACTAAGTTTGTTCTTGGTATAAGCTTTTGTGTGCATGTACACTTCTTCAGAAACATTCGTGTTCATGCACACGAAAGCTTATACACTTTTTCAGATACATTTGAAGAAATGTATCTGAAGAAGTGCGCATGCATACAAAAGCTTATACAGTGGTACCTCGGGATGCGAACGGGATCTGTTCCGGAGCCCCGTTTGCATCCTGAACAGAACGTAAGACGCGACAGCGCATCTGCGCGTGAGCGGGTCGCGTTTCCCCGCTTCCGCGCATCGCGCGATGTCATTTTGACTGTCTGCGCATGCGCATGTGCAAGCAGCAAAACCCGGAAATAACACACTCCATTACTTCCGGGTCGCCACAGAGCGCAACCCGAAAGCACTCAACCTGAAGCGTATTTATCCCGAGGTATGACTGTACCAAGAACAAACTTAGTTGGTCTCTAAGGTGCTACTGGACACTTTTCATATATATCTCAATAGAACCTTTATGGATGTTAGGGATCTATCTATCATCTATCTGTCTATCTATCTATCTATATCTATCTATCTATCTATCTATCTATCTATCTATCTATCATCATCTATCTATCTATCTATCTATCTATCTATCTATCTATCATCTATCTATCTATCTATCTATCATCTATCTATCTATCTATCTATCTATCTATCTATCATCTATCTATCTATCTATCTATCATCTATCTATCTATCTATCTATCTATCTATCTATCTATCTATCATCTATCTATCTATCTATCTATCTATCATCTATCTATCTATCTATCTATCTATCTATCATCTATCTATATCTATCTATCTATCTATTTATCATCTATCAATCATCTATCATCTATCTATCTATCTATCATCTATCATCTATCATCTATCATCTATCACCTATCATCTATCATCTATCTATCTATCTATCTGAAAAGACAGTTGAAGTGAACCACCTCTGAAATTATTTTTAGGGTTCTTTTAGGCAGGTGCACACTTAATTTTTCAATGCGCAGCCTCTTAATACAGATCAAGACCGGGGACTCATTGCTGGGGGCCAAATGCAGCCTTTGCGGCCCTAATGAGACCACACGCCCTCTTCCCAGACCACACACTTCACTGGTCCTGCTTCTCCCCCTTAGTGTTTTTGCCTGGCTGAACTGTATGTTAGCAATGCATGGCAATCACAGATTAATGAGGGAACTGGGCGGGACAAACCTGTGAATGAAGACATGTGAAGGTGATATAAATTGAGAACAGATTGATTTGTCCATTCCAACTTCAAGGGCCTGTTCAATTTAATTATTAGTTTACCACATTTAAAGACCCGCTGTTCCTCTAACAGAAGCACTGGGTGGCTAATGACAGGAAATCTATTTAGAATGCATTTCTATCATAATAAAACCATCAACTGAAATCTATCAATTAGCAGCACAATTCTGTAATACCGTCCCAGTAAAATACCAAATTCAACTGGATTCAAAAGCCTGTTTTGAGCTGTATTTAAAATTTTCTACTTTGTGGGGGGCAGTTAGATGTTCACTGGGAAGGGTCCCACATACAGGGCACCACCACCAAGAATGCCCTGTCTTGCATCACCATCTTCCTGGACTCTGGTATGGATAGAATAAGAAGCAGGGCATCCTCCACTGACTGTAATGTAGTGGTGGGGAATCTCAAGTCCTGGGGACCATTTATCTGGCTGTTGAGGCTTTCCTTTGGAGCTACATTCTTCATCAGCCCTGCTTTTCACTTTCCTGGAATGTTTTTGCCTGGCTGGAATGTGTCTTTGAAGTCATGTGGCTTGTGGAGGCAAACTACCTCTGGCATATCACACTCTGCTTGTGAGATTTGCATTGGCTACCAATCTGCCACCAGGTCAAGGTGTTGGTATTAACATATAAGTCCCTATGCAGTGCAGAATCATGTTATTTGAGAAACTGCTTTATCCTTTATAGGTCCAGTAGATTGCTGCGGTCTGTGGGAAGAATCTCTCCTTCAGTTTCCAAAGATCTCAGAAGCCATCTCCCCAGTAACTCAGAGCAGGCCAGCTCTGAAATTTCAGATCTAAATTGCTGTGTTAATTACTCAGTTCAGAGAGGGTGGCACAGAACGTTGTGTTCGTGGCACAAAACGCCACAAAACTAGCACTGAACTTTGGCATCAGTTTGGGAAGGATCTGAAATTTCAGGGTCACATGTTAATGAAGCTGAACAGGGCTTTTAGTGTGGTTGTCTCTGGTCTGTGGAACAGCATTCCTGCTGAGGTATGACTAGCACCTAATACCTGCACTTTCTGGAAACATTTGAAGACCTTTTCATTCCAAAAGGCTTGGATAAATCTGTGACTGTCCCCTTGTTAGGGTTTTGGTCATGTTTCAAATGTATTTGTTGTTTTTGTGTTTTTAAGTTTTTAATTATCCAAGATATAAATAGCCTTGAGGTGGTAGTTTAGAAGGCAATTAATAAATCCATGTTAACAACAACTGCAATTCTGATAATACCTCTTGGTTGCTTGGATGAGGGACAGAGAAGAGCATGTGTAGAAACTAGCTTCAAATATTGTGAGGGATTTCTGATTGTGAGGGAAGCCATCTTTATGTCATTGTCCACATTTGCCTTTGGTCCCACCCAACATTGGCATGTGGACCCCAGAAGTTTGCCCTGAATGGAATGTGGCCCTCGGGCTAAACAAGGTCCCACACTTCTGTTTTCAACAAACAAACAAAGCACAACCAGAAAATCAAGCAGTGGGAATGGAGAGATTATAAGAGCACAAGGATCTTCTCATTCTGTGCAAAGTTTGAAGCTGCGTCCTGTCGACCCGTCTGAATTCGGCAGCTTCTTCTTCCCCAAGCTGCCCATGTGATGCCTGTGCATTTTAAGGATGTTTTATGTGACATCGCTCTGAGGCCTGACATTTAGACTTCTACCCATCCGGTCAGCCAGGACCTTCCAACATCTTTAATCCTCCCCCCACCAACACACTCTCCCTTCTTTTGTTACCACCGTTCCCAGAAAGGAAAGTGAGTTTTAAAGTGTCAGGACAGTGTAAAATGCTGATATATAGGCCGCTGTTGTTTGAAGGCCTTTTGAGAGGCCCAAGCTCCACCCTCCGCCTCTGTTCCCTTCAAGTCGGGAATGATTCATCAGCGAGAAAAAAGGCTCTGCCCTTGGGTGGAAGGCCTTTGACCTCCGTGAAGAGAGGGGTCAGACTCGGAGCAACTGCGTTAGCGCCAGCGCCACGGCTACAGGCCTTGGAAACAGAAGGGAGAGCCGGTTGAAAGAATGGAGTGGGACGGTGGGAAAAAGTGGGCATTTCTAAAAGTTAAGAGTATATTTCTAAGAGTCTCAGTGGATCAGCTGACAAGTGAGGTCAGAGGTCATATTTATGCTTGATTCCTTGAGCATGTTACAGTAACATCTGCTTGTTAAGGGTCTCCGGGGACCAAATGTTCCTGACCTCTGCTTACAAAAAAGAGGGGGGAGAAGGGACACACAAATGCAGAGATTAGATGTTCATATCCACATTTATTTTTTTGGCTGAAGCTTAAGTTTTGGTTCTCCTGGGGCTGCTTTGGCAGAGCCCATCAATTCCTTTTTTGGGTCGTCGTCGTCGTCCCCAAATCACCATTTCTAGTTGGCACAATGTTTGTGAGCCTCAATCTGGCAGTTAAAAGCCATTACAAGCCAAAATGTCTGGGAGAATCCAGGCAGGGGGGAAAAAGTGTGTGCATCCTTTTATGCCTCATCTGAATACCCTCTGGTTTTATGGTGAGTCAGAAATAGTATGTGAATTAGGTGGTGTGTTTGTTTGCTTGTTTCCATTTGCTCTCTAAACAGCCTAAGCAAGTGAGCAATATTTTCTTTAAACTGAGAGCAGAAATTTGATACTTGACACTGAAATTTTGCATAATATATGTAGCACATACACACACACACACAGGAATGCAATTGTTGCTTATTCTTCGTTCTTACACTCAGACACAAACTTCCTAATTCCTGGTTTTGTAGTGATAAGAATCAGACCAGCCCTAGATACTAAGGCTGCAGTCCTTACTCCAGTTACTGAATTCAGTAGGACTTCCTTCTGAATAGACATGGCTAGGAATGTACCCTCCAATACCTTAAAATCAAAATTAGGGATTCCATCTTCCTGCATTCCATCTTCCTGGTTTTAATCACAAGAGCATGGCAGGCTTTTTGGATGTTGTGATCTCATGCAATTTCATGTCATGCCCCCCCAAACCACATTTTTTTCAGGCACGGTGCCCCAAAATGCATGTGAGAGATCATGGTCCTGAAAAGCTCTTTTTTCCAGGGGGGAACTTTGCTGTGAAATCACTCGAGATCACAGCAACCCAAATGGCCGCTGTTCTCTCACGATAAAAAATGAGATGCTTCTCCTACCACTTGCTAGCAGAGCTTCTTTGCAAGAGATTCCAGAGGCTTACAAATTTCTTTGTTTATTTTAAAGTATTTTGATCCTGCTCTTTAGCCAAAAGTGTGTGTGTGGGGGGGGGGTCTCTTACAGCAGCTTACAAATGTAATACTTTCTGCCTCCTGGACTTACAGTCTAAAAGACACAATACCAAAGGAAAAGGGATTGGGAGGGTGGAGGGAAGGAAGGAAAAAGAAAAACCAAACACTAAGAATATATATAAAAAAACAGTGTCATGCTACTTTTGTCATGGCTACCCCTGCACCCAAAAGCAATATTGGGAAATGTGAAGGATGCTGAGAGTTGTTAGGGTGTCCCTATTCTCCTCACAGAGCTACAATTTCCAGAGTGGCTTAACAGTCAATCCCTCTTCCCATGGAACTCTTAACAAGCTACAGTTTCCAGTTTTCTTTGAGGAAAGCTGCAACTGCTTAAAGTGGTGTGATGTGGCTTGAACTGTACACTGCAGATGGGACTCAAGTAACAGAGTTATTGGAATTTCCAAGGCGAGGAGAAACCTGACATTGCAGGACATTGCATGCCATCCCACCTCTCTCCCTCTTGTATAGCCTGATGGAATCTGGAGGCTTCTGAAAACTCATCAGCATTTCAGTGCAAATTTCTCCTCATGCACATTTTTTGTATGCAGTTCTGCCTAATGTACACATTTTTTTGCAAAGCAATTCCTCCCAATAATAATGTTTTTGTATGCTATTTTCACAAATAT